ATGCAGATGGGAAGAACCAAAGCAACAGGTGTTATAAAACATGTTTTAGCCAAATCTCATTTTGAAGACTACTAATCGATGAACTAAAAGCAAAAAAGTTTAGCATTTTAGTAGATGAATCTACAGACATAGGTGTAGTAAAAAATGTATGTGTATGTGTTAGGTACTTTAGTGAAAAAGCAAATGAGGTAACTACAAAATTTTTAAATTTGGTTCAATGTTTTTCAAATCAAAATCCAGATGAAGCAAATACAGGGGCGACTGTAGAAGTTCTTTATAAAAAATTATGGATTTATACGTATTTGAGTCTAACAATATACCTTTCCAAAATATTATAGGATTTGGTTCTGATGGTTGTAACACTATGTTTGGTGCCAATAACTCAGTAGTAAGTAGGTTAAAACTAAATCTTCCTGGCATTATAGTTCAAAAATGCATCTGCCACTCTTTACATCTTTGTGCCAGTGAGGCTTGTAAAGTTTTGTCCCGTCATTGTGAAGATTTAGCCAGGAATATTTTTGGTTACTTTAAAAATAGCTCCAAACGGCAAGCACAATTTACAGAATTTCAGACATTTTGTAATGAGGAGCCTCACAAAATTTTACGTCCTTCACAAACTAGGTGGCTTTCATTACTTATGGTAGTGGAAAGGATAATTGAGCAATGGAATCCTCTTCAATTATATATTGTTAAAGAATGGACCGAACATAGACTACAAGCTTCAGAAGTTGTTGCCAATAGACTTAATGATATGGAAACAAAACTTTTTTCTTTTTTCTTTATTGGATTTTACCAAAATTTGTAAAATTAAATGAATACTTTCAAAGTGAGCGTGTCATAATTGCACACGTTTATGATGTAGTTTGTGAAACTTATAAAGAAATTTGTTTAAGCTATTTACAACCAAATTATATTCATAAAACCGAAATAGGTAAAATCGATCCCAACAATGCTAGTCAGTTCATTGACTTGAAACAGATATACCTTGGTGTTCGCGTACTTCAGAACATTAATAAATTAAGTCAAAAGGAAAAAGAAGATTTCTACATGCGGTGCCGTCAATTTTTAATAACTTCTGCAAATGAAATGAAAAAACGGCTTTTAATGAAAATATTTTGTCAAAAATATCAGTATTTGAAAACCAGCATCGCTTTTTCCATTAATTAAGTTACTACCCAGAATTTTAGATCCTCAAGATATTGAACAAATACAAAAAATTGATGATCAGTGGCGGATGTATTGCCAGTCAGAACCAAATTTCAGTGATGAAATAAAGGATGAAACATCAATCGATAAATACTGGTACAAAATCTCCCAAATTCACAACATGTCTGATTGTTTACGTATTTAAAGAATTGGGAAATTTTGTATTAGATTTATTAGTAATTCTTCATTCAAATGCCGCATGCGAAAGAATGTTTTCAAAAGTAAATTTAATCAAAACAGATGTCCGAAATCGCTTGTACAGTGATTCACTTTTATTGGCATCTCAAAGTGTAAATCGTGAATGTTATAAGTTTAATGTTACTCAAAATATGATTAATAGAATAACGTCCTATAAACATGTCGCTCAAGATGAAAATGAAACTGTTGATATTCATTTTGAACCTGATAATGTTTTTTATGTTTTTGAGTTAGGTATATCTTGTAGTGTTTTTCGAGAGTTTGTTTGATTTTCCCAAATGTTCCATTTTTTATGAGATTTTTACATTAAAGAACCTATATTAATTATGTGTATTTTTTGTCTTAAAGGAACACTATTTGTAACATAATTTTGAAGAAAAATTGATAATTCTGGCAACATCGTACCAAAATTCCTTTACTGGCCGGTAGCATCACTGCGTGAGATCCTAGCATTATTTTACCAGTTGTCGTTTTGGAGCCTTGGATGGTGGAGCACCGCGTTTTCGCCTATGATTGTTTCGTCCGAAATAATGAGTCAATCATCGTCGTACAGCGTGAGTTTCGTCGCTACTTCAACATTCATCGGAATAGAGCTGTTCCCTCTCGAAACACCATCCTTCGTTGGGTTGAACCACTTCGCAGGCGTGGTGAACTGATCAGCAGAAGACCAAGAGGAGCGTCGCGAACGGTTCGAACTCCTGAAAATGTTGAACGCGTTCGACAGGTCTTTCTTCGCAGTCCGACTCGATCTGCCCGGAAACATGCTGCTGTACTTCGCCTTAGTGATCGCTCGGTAAGGCGAATTTTGCATATGGATCTCCGCTTTCACCCCTACAAATTGGCCATTGGGCAACAGTTACAGCCCGGAGATTATGCACAACGAATGAACTTCGCACGTGAGATGGAAGCCTGATCGATCAAAATGAGAACCTCATTTTGTTTATGTGTGACGAAGCCCACTTTCACCTAAACAGCATGGTTAACCAGCAGAATTGTCGTTATTAGGCTAATGAAAATCCGCAACAGTTACACGAAAGACCGCTGCACAGCCCAAAAGTAGCGGTTTGTTGCGCTGTATCGCAAACTTGCATCATTGGCCCTTACTTCTTCGAAGACGGTAATGGTCGTGATGTTACCGTGAACTCAGAGCGCTACGTCGACATGATCACCAACTTCTTTCTCCCTGAATTACCACGGCGACGTGTTCCAAATTCCAATCCGAGTTGTGTGGTTCCAGCAGGATGGGGCGACCGCCCACACAGCCCGAGCATCCATGGACGTTATTCGCCCTCTCTTCCCTGGTCGCCTTATTTCCAGGTTTGGCGATGTTCATTGGCCTCCTCGGTCCCCAGATTTATCCATATGCGATTTTTTCTTATGGGGACACCTCAAGGCTAGAGTATACGCGAACAAGCCCCGAACTCTGGACGAATTGAAGGGCGAAATTCGCGTGGAAGTCGCCCAAGTTGAGAGAGCGATGTTAGAGAGAGTCTACGCGAACTTCCAAGAACGCCTCCAGCACTGCATCAACGATTCCATCAATAAATTTGTTTTCGAGTAAACATTAACTATACTAAGTGACATATAAATCCGAACACCCAGTTTAAATGGTTTTATTTTAATAAAATTTTGTAGAAGTAGTTAATGAAGCATAATAAGTAAATGATAAAAATTTCAAAATGATTGCACTGCTTTAAAGCCCTTTGACCTTTAATAATGTGTGGATGCACCCTGATGTGCTACGCATTCTCCAACGCGCCTAGGCATGCTTCTGATCAGGTGGTCAATGTCCTCCTGTGGTATCTCATTCCAGGCAACCACCAAATCCTCTCGAAGTGCTTCTAGAGTCTGAGGAGGACGTTGCAAATTGAGCAATCTCCTACCCATCATATCCCACACGTGCTCAATTGGGGATAAGTCGAGAGATCTTGGTGGCCATGGTAACAATGTAACATCATTATGTTGAAAGAAGTCTATTGTGACTCTTGCAACATGTGGTCGGGCATTATCTTGTTGGAAAGTTGGATCTAACAGGGTGTCAAGATAGGGTAAAAGATGGGGTTCTACAACTTCGTGGATATAACGCTGCGCGTTCGTGTTACCTCTGATGAAGATTAAAGGTGACCTGGAACCATAAGCTATAGCACCCCAAACCATAACTCCAACAGTGTGATGAACATGTCTTTCAACAAAAAACTGTGGATTCCTCTTTTCACCACGTCACCTTCTAACCCTGGCACGACCATCGTGCATGCCTAAACAAAATCGAGACTCGTCACTAAAGACAATACTGTTCCATTCCTGATCCCAGAGTGACCGTTGTCTGTACCAGTCAAGGCGATTACGTCGGTGTTCTCGAGTTAAAGGGAGGACCCAGTGTGGCCGGTATGAAAACAAGCCAAAACTTCTCATTCGTCGGTAAACACTTCGCATGCCAATAGGTCTTCCGAGTTCTGCAAACCATTCATTTGCAATGGACCTGGTAGTGGAGAAACGGTCCCTTACGGCCAATAATCTTAGGCGGCGATCTTCACGGTCTGTTGTTCTACGGCGGCGTCCAGTGCCCCTTGCTCTTCGCGTACGGCCTTCTCGACGCCATGCCTGACAACACCTAACCACAGTGTCTACACTTCTTTGCACTCTAACTGTAATTGCCCGAAAAGAAAGTCCAGCCCCTACCAAACTCACAAGTTGACGAAATCGTACAGGTCTCCGTACTCTAGGCATCGTAACCGATCGTAAAGGATGTCAAGAACCAAAATCCGCCAACGTTGATTCTTTAATGCGGCTGAAATATTCATTTTTAGAGCATTAGTGAATTAAAAAAAAGCAGTATAAAAACCGGAATGTCCAACTGATAAGGCTGAACATTTTTTCACTTGTTATTTACAGTAAGATAAATACATTCGCCAACTTTTATTGAAATAAAACCATTTAAACTGGGTGTTCGGATTTATATGTCACTTAGTATATTTTATGATTTTTTTAAAACCGTCCATCCTCTCTGCCGCACCCTGTAAAAGGATCATTTTACCCTGATAGGGTGGGCAAAATGATCCCCTAAGGTAAGACAAAATGATCCCTGTTTCTTGATAGTTTTTGAGAGTTTACTCTTAATAAAACACGAATTAACGACAACCTAAATTACTTTAGCGAGCAAAACCAAATGGCATTTAGTAAAAATAAACTTAAATCGATGTGTAATAAGTTACAAAATATAAAAAAGCGGAAATCCAAAAAATCGTATTCAAAACGAAAAATGAATGTAGATTACAAGTCATCTACTAACTGTTTACGCACTTTCTTCACCTTTGCATTATCAATACAATAGTCACAGCAGTATGGATCGCAGTCCTCATCGTCAATTCCCGCACACTCATCATGCGCCCAACGATAGCACATTGAGCACTGCAACCATCCGTCTTCTGAATTAGACTGTAGAAATGTTTCCGTACAAATAAGACATTCTGTATCTTCTTCTTCTTCGGATACCTCTGAAGACTCTTTGTAATTTTTGTCCTGTTTAATTTTCTTATTATGCTTATATTTTCTTACACTTTGCCTTTTATTTTTTTTAGAACCTTTTTTCTGCTAATTCATTCTTGTTCTTTAAATGTTTTTTCGGCCTGCTTTTCCTTCTTCTGTTGTTCTTCTAACAATTGATTTTTATGCGGACTACTTGTCAAAACTACTGTGCCTCCAGACTTCCTGGATTTAGAGCTACGTTTTTCTTGTGAAATTTTAGGAAGTTTATTAACATCACTTGGAAGAATGTTAAAACCACTTTTTGATGTCGAAGGTTCATCAATCAAAGCTAAGTAGGATTGCGGAACAATTATTGTTGGTAAAGCGTCATTTTGCTCGTTGTTTTCAATACTTTTTTCATTGACCTCATCATTTTCTTCATGGGCCCAATTATTTTCATCTATGACTTTGTTCGCGGCCGTCACCATTTTCCTCGTGTACACCATCATTCTGAGGTTCGTTTTGCTGGGTCACTTCAGCAGCTACGAAATCAATGTCTGTGAAGACATCGGGATCGTACGGAAAAATTAACCCAGATATGCCTACAGCTAAAATAAATTATAATAAAGTATGTTCTCTGCAAATTCATTCTATGTGAAGCATATGTTAAACAAATTTATTATTTTTTAAATTTTATTTTAGGAAAAAGTGTAACAAAATGCCGTACAAAATATGGTACACTAGGCACATAAGCGAACATTACGGTTTAGTATGGAAGGACAAAAAACATTTTACATGCATCCCTACATTGCACTTAGAACACCTTGTTTTTGCTCTATCATGACACAAGCCACATCTAGTTGGCTTTTCTTGTGGTATCACAAAATGATCTAAACGATCATAAGGAATATCTATACAGGGTGTTTCAGTTTATTTTTGCATAACTTTAAGATTCGATAGAACTTTTAAAATTAATGCATAAAGTCTATATAAACATGGGTCGAAAAATGCGTGGCTTCCGAAATACAGGGTGTTTAAATTTACTTTCTAAAATAGTTTTTTTTAAATATTTCGAACAATATTTGATGTATAACAGTGAAAATTGGTATACAAGGGTTTTTTGGTACGACAAAACGAACCATGGGCATAGTTTTACTGTAGCCGCTAGAGGGTGCTCTCTACTGTACCTGTAGTGTATTAAAATGATCTAAGATTTTTTCCTAGTCCAATTTTTTGCTTTTTGAATAAAAAAACTGATTCTTCGCACTTTTCAACATAAAAAAGCTCTCTGTTGAGTTTTCGTTATAGTTAACCGTTTTTGAGATATTTCGATTTTTAAGGTTCGATGCATTTTTAATTATTTATGGGAAAATAATATTCTTTTTACATTTTCGATTTGGGCATTACAAGTAATAAGATGATCGTTTAGATTGTGTTTTTAAACACAGCAATAATTCCTAACTCCAAATAAAGACAAAATAACACAATATTAATTTGTTTAATATTCCAATATTATTTTTAACAAATTAAATTAATTATTTACAACTAAAATGCTATTGGATAGTTAGGACAAACATACAAAATCTAAAGTAGTTGCTCGAAATATAAACCCAATTGTTCAATACATAATTCACATCTACGAATGATCGAACGTGGTATAGCATTATTCAAATAAGGCCTTATTGCATCACATGCATTCCTGATTCTGTCTATTAGCATATCTCTTGTGGTTACGGGCGTCTGGTACACTTTTTCTTTTAGAAAGCCCCACACAAAGAAATCTAATGGATTTAGGTCAGGGGATCGTGGAGGCCAGGCGACTGGTCCTCCACGGCCGATCCATCTTTCTGGATAATTTTCGTCCAGCCAGTTTCTAACTATTCTCGAATAAATCATGAGCTGGACAACCATCAAGCTGGAACCAGGCCAATCTTCTTAAATCATTAAAACATAACATCATCCCACATATTTGCATATTCAGCCTTTAAAAATTCCAAGAAGGTCGCAGCATTTAAGCTTGCAGGCAAAAGGTAGGGTACAAATAGTCGATTACGGTAGATACCAATCCACACGTTCACACTAAATTCATGCTGAACATTTCTTTCCCGAACTGCATGCGGATTTTCATGCGACCAAATATGTTGATTATGAAAATTTACCACTCCACGTCTAGTGAAGCATGACTCATCCGTCCATAAAACGTTAATTAAAAACACCCTATTATTATCAGTTCTTTCAAGAATCCCCTGATAAACTGTGATTTTTCGTTCTCCGTCCCCTGGCTGTAGTCCTTGCACAGGTTGCAAATGGTAAGGACGTCTATGGTCATTTCTAAGAACACGGTGAACATGGCTTGCTGAAATTCCCAAGGCACCAGAAACTCTCCTAACACTTGTGGTCGGATCTCTATCAAACTCACCCGGTATCATACGGATAAATCTGAGCTGACGAACATTTATGTTTTGATCCCTTTGGAGATTTCCAAAACCATTTTCAATTATTTGGCGATGCACTCTTAGAAATACTGAGCGAGTTGGATGTCGTGTGTTTGGAAATCTTCGTGCGTATTCTCTGGCTTCTTCTGCTGCGTTTCCATTTACAAAGCCATACACAAAATGAATATCCGCTAACTCTTGATTGTAGAATAAAAATGGCATTTTTATAAAACTTACAAAAAAAACAGGTGAAATAAACTAAATTTCGTGCATTCACAATTGCAAAAAAACGTTTCAGGTTTCAACAGACAACAAAACTAATTGTCAACTAATTATAAGATCAAACGAACTTACCTTAAGTGATGTTCGATCTTGATTATATTACGGTCCCGTCGAAGTAAATAAAGAAGTCTGTAGTACCTCCGTTCTGCGTTTCCGGACCACAATTTTTAAAGAAATCTGCATCTGGCAACACCGCACCCCACTCCGAACCTTCAGGTGCCTCGCTGCTTCAGTCATTTTAAAGTTGTTGTTGCAAAGGGGAATTCCAGTGGATTATTTTTTATAATAACAGGGCAGGGTGGGACTTTATTTACTTCGACGGGACCGTAATATAATCAAGATCGAACATCACTTAAGGTAAGTTCGTTTGATCTTATAATTATATTACGGTCCCGTCTCCTAAATAAAGAAGTCTGTAGATGTTTAAAGTAATTGCAACAACGCATAAATTTATTTGAATAATGGTTGAAATAACATGGTAACTAAAAATAATTACTATCTCAACTAAATTAAGTTTCAACTCCTTACTTATTTTAAGATACACAAGTTTATTATAATTTTTTTTTTTTTTTTTTTTTTAACAATTTAGTATAACTTTTGCAAACTTAGAATTGTCTACGACAGGGCGATTATAAAAGTTTGCGAACGTTCTAGAATCGTTAGACCAACCTGCCGCTAATCTTATGGAATCAAAACTGACCCCAGCCCTTGCTGCAGAAGAGGTGGATGCATGTCTTGTACTTTGTGGTTTAAATATGGTCATATCTACTCCACTATTTTCTAGCATATCTTTAATCCATCTGGATATAGTAGAAACAGATGCCTTGTTGTGTGGTTTCTTAAAGGTAATAAAAAGCCAATCACAAGAGTTTCTTAACTTCTCGGTAGCACTAAGATATGTTAATAGTGTTCTAGCTACGCATAGTTGCGGATCATTATCAAAAAAATGTAAAACTAAAAGGGGTTGCGGTTTATTTATTGAGGATGTTTTGATACGGTCTGGTATCTTTATATTGATTATGTGAGATTGAACTGAGATATTATTAATCTTTATAAGTGTTAATGTTTGTATACGTTGGCCGGTGGCCAAGGCCAACAAAACCGCAAGTTTTTTGCTTAAGGTTGCTAGAGAAAGAGTTTTAGTTCCAAGCGTCTTTACATAGGATAATACTATTTGGGGATCCCAAATATTCTCATATCTAGCTGTAGGTGGTTTTTTGCTAAAAACTCCTTTGAAGAAACGCTTGGCCCTAAAATCTTGGCCAAATTGTGGCCCTGCAATCTGAGATATGGCCGATCTATAAGAATTAAGGGTTCCATAAGTTGCGCCTTTCTCAAAGTGAATGGTTAAAAATTCCAGAACGTCCTCCACAGCTACCTCATATGGAATAATGTTTTTGTTAACACAAAACTCCCACCACAGGCGTAGACCCCCATTATACTGTTTCAAAGTTGATTCTGTGATCGAAGCTAAACAAATATCCAGAGTAGCTAAAGGCACCTTCCCTTGTAGAAGTGCTTCCCTGATAACCGCCCTGCTACCAGGGAAAGGTTTTTCCATAAGGGGTGTGGGGTCCCGCTAAATGAAAGTAGAGTTTCGTTAGGGCCAAAAACTAGGGGTTCCTGTATCAATAAGGATTTAAATAGTGGGTACCAGGGTTGTGAACACCATCGAGGTACAACGACAATGCCTTCCGCCTTATCTCTAATTATTTTTTGCAACGTTCTTAATATTAAGGAAAAGGGTGGAAAGGCATAAAAGTTCAACCCATTCCAACTTAAGGTGAAAGCATCTATTCCGTGAGCCTCCGGGTCTTGAAACCATGATATAAAGAGTTTACATTTTTTGTTAATGCGACTTGCGAACAGGTCAATTTTCGGGTCACCAAATTTACTGGAAATTTTTGAAAAGGCAGCTTCGGAAATTGACCATTCTGTTTCTCTGTGAATCTGACGGGAGGCTCTATCGGCATGTACATTATCTTTGGAATTAATATATGATGCAAAGATAATTATATCTTTTCTCTCGCAGTAATTCCAGATCTTTCTGGCTAATTTATTCAGAGCTGGAAACCGTACGCTTCCAAATCTGTTAATAGTGGAAAATGCAGTGGTGTTATCAATTCTGCATAGAATATAACAATCAGATAGACCCTGCGTAAAACACTTTATCGCAAAAAAGACTGCCAATAATTCCAATTCATTAATATGTTTTTGTTTTTCTTGAAGTGACCAGAAACCAAATGTAGTTTTACCTTCACAGTACGCCCCCCACCCAGATTTAGAAGCGTCTGAAAAGATTTCAAGAGCGAATTCCTCATTATGAATGGAATTATTCGATAAAGTGACGTGTTTAAGCCACCAAGACAAATCAGATAACAAATGCGGGGAAATATTCATTTTTGCGTCATAGTTTCCCTGAACATGATATAAGGCCTTCATTTTGGCACGTTCAAATAGTTTAGTGTACAAAAAACTATATTTTAGTGCTGGAGCGGCTGAAACCAAATTTCCAATAAATTTGGAGAACTCTCTTATGGTGCAAGTTTTAGTTTTAGTAAAACGTAGTAACAATTTTTGCAACCTAGCACGTTTTTCTTCGGGTAATGACACTGTCATATAAATAGAATTGTATTGAAAACCAAGAAAAACGCAACTTTGATTAGGAATGAGAGAACTTTTTTTATAATTTATAATAAAGCCTAAGTATTCTAAGAGTTTAATAGTTTCCCTTGTATTAACTACACACTCTTTGTAAGTTCTTCCAAGAAGTAGAAAATCGTCTAAATATA